ACACCCGATTGAGCGAAGGTGTTTATTCAGAGACACTCGTGGTCACCTGTGTCTCCCTGTGCAGTATCCCTCCTTGTCATCCTTAGTCAGGGACAGTCATGGATAACACTTACACCCCAGCTCCCTCCCCCAACAGCTCTCACTGTATAGTGCCTAGGGCAGCCACTTGCTAACTCGCCTAGAACACAAGTCCCAGAGGCCCAAGCCCCTTCCCAGCTCTGAGCTGAACATCCTGGCCCTTTGGACTCTGCCTTCCATGTTCTGTGACATCAGGGCCCTGCTGATGCCGGCCGACTTTCCCAAATTATATCCTAGGATTAATGGAAACCTCTGGGCAATCCCAACCCAACAACATTCCACCGATGAGCTCATAACAGCCTGCCCACTCTGAATCGGGCCAGGACATCCCCTGGGTCTAACGTTTACACATCTCAACAGCACCAATCTCTAGGCCCAGAAAGATGTGAGAAAGGCATATGACCAAAAAGAGGGCCACATGTCTACCCCAGACCCCCAAAAGGCCAGGGACCCTGCAAGTGACCAGAGGTCACCAGAGCCCTTCCCCCGACAGCCGTCACCTCCCCTGCCACCCAGTACCCCTGCCTCCTCCCTTCCTCCGCACACCACTCTCTTGCTAAGTGTACACTCACAGGCAGGAGGGAGGTGGGCAACTGGAGCAAAGGAACCTGGGAGGCAGCCTGGAGTGGGCGGAAATCACACGAGGCAGATTCTGGAAGCACAGCCAGAGCAGACCATGGCTGGAGCAGATGGCCTCAGGAGGGAAAGCGGGGAAGGGGGGGCGGAGAGGAGTCCCATCAGAGAGCAGAAGGTAGGGACCTGGCAGAGAGGCCAGAGATGCCCTGACCAGGTCTCCTTCCCCAGCAGGGCCTCTCCTATGGCAGAGGGCCACGCAGACACGGGCATCACAGTCCACTGAGGCCCTCCCGACCACAGTGAGGAGCTCAGTGCCCCCTGCCTTGGCAGGGCATCTTCTCTCGACCTATTTTGCAATGTGGTTTCTGTGAGACAACATTTTTAAGGTCAGAAATTTCACCAGCCTAAGCTATTCTCTGCAGGCCCCTTTGCTGTAGTTCTGCCCGTGAGGAGACAGACCATCCAGCCTATTCCAATCCGATTGCCTCTCCAGGACCCAGCAACCAGGCTAGCAACCTGCTCCTCACCTGTGTCCTGGGAGGAGGGACTTTGCGCAGGTGCCGCTTACCCGCTCCGCAAGGCCTGTGCACTGCCCAGCCTTTCTCCCTTCCCTTTTCCCTCCCTCCCTCTCCTCCTCCCCTCCTGTCTGCAGTTGCTAAGTTACACCAAAACCCGCTCTGTTCTGTGTGAACGGTTCCATTGCCACAATTTGCCAGGTAAAAGGCAGCCATCCACCAGCAGCGGGAAGATGCATCTCAGAAAGCAAACAAACTCCTGCATGGTTTTGGGGCTAGGCCACTGGCACCCCTGCCTGGGAACATCTGCTTGGGCTCCCAAACCCCAGGGGACATGTGCAAGAGAACGCAGCTTCCACACTTTATCATGGAGTCTGGTCACTCTCTTCTCAGCAGCAGAGCCTGTGGGCCCAGGAAAACACACACACACACACACACACAAGCTGACAACCACCCAAGAGGTTGCTGAGCCACTATAATCCACAGCCCTAGAGGCAAAAAAAAAAAAAAAAAGGAAAAGAGGTTGGGGAGGCAGAGAACCACTCTTCTGTCCCCAGACCACAAAGCTAAGAGTCCCTGACGCTCTCCCACTCTGGAGATCCTTCCTGGGCTGAGTACTGTGGTCCTAGAGTGCTGTCACTGAAGAGAAACATGGAAATGCCCGCAGAAGTCGTCAGACCCACGGTGTCACTCTGTTGAAGCCATTCTCAAAGGGGCCTGCAGCCTGCTCATGGCTCACGAGTCAAAATACACGGCCTCCCAGTTCCTACCAGGATATGAGGTACTGCTCTGCTCTGGAGAACCTAGAGCCTGGCAGAGCAGGTTCTGTGCCCACAGGGGCTGGGGTGGACAAGAAGGAGTCAGGGGGAGGTGGCAGAGCCGGGGAAGATGAAGGCCCTGTAAGCCAACCTGACCCTGGGGCAGGAGGCCATCTGAGTCTCTCCCTTATCTCCCACAGTGGGATAAGACTAATAAAAGAGGGAAAGTGATCAAAAAGGGGGTTCACTGTCCCGAGTAGGAAAAGAGGGAGCCTGGATGCCTCCAAGTCTCAGGCCCCATGTAGCTCCCCAAAGGCAGCCTCTTGTCAATATCCACTACCTGCATCTCTCAGAGATAGCTAGAGATGCGGAGAGCAGGGGCCCATCCTCAATCAGCAGGCAGCAGGACGGACGGGCGGACAGACGGACGGACGGACGGACACACACACACACACACACACACACACACACACACACACACACACACACACGCTTATTCCGACTGGAACCAACCAGTTATACCTGTCGAATTGCTCCCAAACGGTCCTTCAAATGACCCCGGCCCACGGGACAGAGGGATGCACCTCACCATGCCCCTGTTTCTCTACGCTCAAACGCAGTGTTTACGCCCCAATTCCTTGCCCAACAGCAAGTGCGTGAGATGCCACCCCGGACCCAGAATGCACAAGAGCAAATGGAAACTTCCAACTGCGCAGCCCCGAGCTCCTCGGATCCCCGACCCCCTCCCCCACGCCAGGCCCTGGGCAGCGGACTTGCCAGTGGTGCCCACGCCTGCCACCCGGTGCGCTCCCTCCATGCTCGTCCCGGCCGCCCCGTGCGCGGCAGGTGCAGGAGGCACAGGGGTCCCGCCGTCCAGCCCGGGGCGGAGTTCCAGGAACTCCACGCGGGGCTTCACATCGCCCTACCCGGTGCCCGTGCCCGGACCGGCGCCCGCCCGCGGTAA